CCTGTTGTTGTCTTCCTGTTGTTGTTCTTCCTGTTGTTGTTCTTCCTGTTGTTGTTCTTCCTGTTGTTGTTCTTCCTGTTGTTGTTCTTCCTGTTTGTTCTTCCTTCCTGTTGTTGTTCTTCCTGTTGTTGTTCTTCCTGTTGTTGTTCTTCCTGTTGTTGTTCTTCCTGTTGTTGTTCTTCCTGTTGTTGTTCTTCCTGTTGTTGTTCTTCCTGTTGTTGTTCTTCCTGTTGTTGTTCTTCCTGTTGTTGTTCTTCCTGTTGTTGTTCTTCCTGTTGTTGTTCTTCCTGTTCTTCCTGTTGTTGTCCTTCCTGTTGTTGTCCTTCCTGTTGTTGTCCTTCCTGTTGTTGTCCTTCCTGTTGTTGTTCTTCCTGTTGTTGTTCTTCCTGTTGTTGTTCTTCCTGTTGTTGTTCTTCCTGTTGTTGTTCTTCCTGTTGTTGTTCTTCCTGTTGTTGTTCTTCCTGTTGTTGTTCTTCCTGTTGTTGTTCTTCCTGTTGTTGTCCTTCCTGTTGTTGTTCTTCCTGTTGTTGTTCTTCCTGTTGTTGTTCTTCCTGTTGTTGTTCTTCCTGTTGTTGTTCTTCCTGTTGTTGTTCTTCCTGTTGTTGTTCTTCCTGTTGTTGTTCTTCCTGTTGTTGTTCTTCCTGTTGTTGTTCTTCCTGTTGTTGTTCTTCCTGTTGTTGTTCTTCTTGTTGTTGTTCTTCCTGTTGTTGTTCTTCCTGTTGTTGTTCTTCCTGTTGTTGTTCTTCCTGTTGTTGTTCTTCCTGTTGTTGTTCTTCCTGTTGTTGTTCTTCCTGTTGTTGTTCTTCCTGTTGTTGTTCTTCCTGTTGTTGTTCTTCCTGTTGTTGTTCTTCCTGTTGTTGTTTCTTCCTGTTGTTGTTCTTCCTGTTGTTGTTCTTCCTGTTGTTGTTCTTCCTGTTGTTGTTCTTCCTGTTGTTGTTCTTCCTGTTGTTGTTCTTCCTGTTGTTGTTCTTCCTGTTGTTTTTCTTCCTGTTGTTGTTCTTCCTGTTGTTGTTGTCCTTCCTGTTGTTGTTCTTCCTGTTGTTGTTCTTCCTGTTGTTGTTCTTCCTGTTGTTGTTCTTCCTGTTGTTGTTCTTCCTGTTGTTGTTCTTCCTGTTGTTGTTCGTTGTGTTTCGTCCTGTTGTTGTTTCTTCCTGTTGTTGTTCTTCCTGTTGTTGTTTGTTGTTTTTCTTTTTTTGTTCGGTTGTTGTTCTTCCTGTTGTTGTTCCTGTTGTTGTTCCTGTTCTTCCTGTTGTTGTCTTCCTGTTGTTGTTGTTGTTTCTTCCTGTTGTTGTTCTTCCTGTTGTTGTTCTTCCTGTTGTTGTTCTTCCTGTTGTTTTTCTTCCTTGTTGTTCTTCCTGTTGTTGTTCTTCCTGTTGTTGTCCTTCCTGTTGTTGTCCTTCCTGTTGTTGTCCTTCCTGTTGTTGTTCTTCCTGTTGTTGTTCTTCCTGTTGTTGTTCTTCCTGTTGTTGTTCTTCCTGTTGTTGTTCTTCCTGTTGTTGTTCTTCCTGCTGTTGTTCTTCCTGATCTTCCTGTTGTTGTTCTTCCTGTTGTTGTTCTTCCTGTTGTTGTTTTTCCTGTTGTTGTCCTTCCTGTTGTTGTTCTGCCTGTTGTTGTCCTTCCTGTTGTTGTCCTTCCTGTTGTTGTTCTTCCTGTTGTTGTTCTTCCTGTTGTTGTTCTTCCTGTTGTTGTTCTTCCTGTTGTTGTTCTTCCTGTTGTTCTTCTTCCTGTTGTTCTTCTTCCTGTTGTTCTTCTTCCTGTTGTTCTTCTTCCTGTTGTTCTTCTTCCTGTTGTTCTTCTTCCTGTTGTTCTTCCTGTTGTTCTTCCTGTTGTTCTTCGTGTTGTTCTTCGTGTTGTTCTTCGTGATGTTTTACGAGTTGTTGTTTGTGTTATTGTTTGTGTTGTTGTCTGGTTGTTGTTCGTGTTATTGTTCGTATTGTTCTCCGTTTTGTTGTTCGGTTCGTTTTGCTGGTGTTGTTTTCCTTATTCTTTTCTTTGTTGTCTTTGTTGTTGTTGGTTGGTTGGTGCTGGTGCTGTTGCTGTTGCTGTTGCTGTTGGTGGTGTTGTTGTTGCTGTTGTTGTCGTTGTTGTCCTGATTCTGGTTTTGGTTTGGTTTGTGTTGGGTTTTGGGTTTGTGGTTGTGGTTGTGGTTGTTTTGGTTGTTTTGGTTCCTGCTGTTGTTGTGGCTGCTGTGGTTGTTGTGGTCTGATCGTGGTTGTGGTTGTATTTGTGTTTGTCACGGTTGTTGTGGTGGTTGTGGTGGTTTTTGTTGGTTTGGTGGTTGCTGTGATTGTTGTGGCCGCCGTAGTTGTCGTGGTTGTTGTTGTGTGGTCGTGGTGTTGTCGTGGTTGCTGTTATCATCGGCCTCGTCGTCGTCGTGGTCGTTGTCGTCGTTGCCGTCGCCGTCGCCGTCGATTGTTGTCGTGGTTGTCGTGGTTGTTGTTGTTGTTGTTGTTGTGGTTGTTGTTGTTGTTGTTGCTGCTGCTGCTGTTGTGGTTGAGGTTATTTGAGGTTATGGTCGTGGTCGTGGTTGTTGTGGTTGTGGAGGTTGTGGAGGTTGTGGAGGTTGTGGAGGTTGTGGAGGTTGTGGAGGTTGTGGAGGTTGTGGAGGTTGTGGAGGTTGTGGAGGTTGTGGAGGTTGTGATGGTTATGGTGGTTGTGGTGGTTGTGGTGGTGGTTGTTGTTGCTGTTGCTGTTGCTGTTGCTGTTGTTGTTGCTGTTGTTGTTGCTGTTGCTGTTGTTGCTGTTGCTGTTGATGCTATTGTTTTTGATGCTACCGTTGCTGATGCTATTGTTATTGTGGTGCTGCTGCTTCTGTTGCTCTACCACTTGCCTCCCACTGTCTCCATGTACACTGCGGGTGCTCTCACCTGCATGATTCTACACTTGTCTCCCATTTGTCTCCCATTTGTCTCCCATTCGTCTCCCATTTGCCCCTCACTGTCTCAGTAGCCAGCAGCCTCAGCAGAGCAGCAGCCAGCAATTCAGCAGCAGTTTAAGAGCAGTTGCCTAGAAGGCTTTGCCCCGAGCTTAAATATATAACAACGGATGTATTATGCACATCTGCGACGCCACAAGTCACAACCTAACTGCGGTCATCAACCTGCATTGCAATACTATATATTTGATGGAATTGTGAACAAACAAAAAATCACTGATAAGAAAGCAACTGCAACAAATTCAGTTTCCCCCCACCTGAACGCAACAAAAAGTACGTACGACCTAAGCATAAGTAGATACTTAAAGCCAACCTGAAAGCAAGAAAAAAACACAATGACACTGAAAAAAACATCGTTGCGCTGACATCAACAGAGTTTCCCTGCGTCTTGCAAAAAACACGATTTCCAGGGAAAATTTCGCCCCAACTAAACATAATCAGTTCATGTATGTTTTTTTTAATCAAGGCACGATTTTGTCTTTTGGTTGTAAAACGATCACATGTTTCAAACGTTGTTGGATGAAACTGGTGGAACACGTAGTTCCCACTTCCTGCTGCCGCCATTTTCACTTTTTGGAACCAATGCCAGGTTCCTAGAAATGCAACTTTGAAGCATTCCCCTTCTGTCTTCTGCGATGCATACAACATATGCGCAAAACACCGAAAGAAACGGACTAACGCCCTATCTGCGAATTCCACATTCCACAATGTGTCCGCAATGTGTCCGGCACGAAAATTTGTGGGAATGAATTGTATTGACCAAGTACTTCCTTAAATGGACATGTGTTTGAATTGTGGCAACTGCGATGTTGAAGAGTTTCAATGAAAATTGTTCTCGTTTAGGGACGTGGATCATAGTGATGATGTGGAAAAATAAATACAAAATTGCCGAACTGCGCGTGGGGTACTGCAAAGGTCGGCGGATTTTTTGATCCAACAGGCAGAAAATCATTGGTTTGGGTCAGTTTTGTGTTTCAATACGTTTTGCGTTTGTTCCGGGTTACCATACCGCACTGAGAGGACATGGGACAAATGACAAACGGAGTCAACCATCACCCCTTGCCGTGAATTATAGAATTTGTTGGCATCCCACAGTGCCAACCATGTTTTTTTTCAATGGACGACATGGTTTACATGCAAGATGTTGCAAGCAATATCATATTCCCTTGCGCATGACATGCCAACTCAGCGAATATTGTACCAAGAGACTTTTTTGGATTTGGTCGATCCCATGATCAAGCAAATATAAGAATTATGTTTTTACTTCTCTACGTTTACTTGCCTATGGAAAAAAACGTGTTTATCGAACCTTGCAAAACATCAACAATCGTAGATGCACTACCTTTCATGTTCAGCCAGTTTATTTTTGCGTCACCCCATTCCGCGCCCAAAGCAGTTTGCAAGGCGATGCTATGATTACGCTAGGGTTGGTTCCCACATTGTTTAGCTGTTTGATGGGGGGACATGTTTGAAGTTTAAAGCTTTGTTTATTTTGTTTGTTTCGCTGCCGGTCGGGTTGCTAGACGTTCGTGTTGCCAGCCCTCAAGCAAACACTTTTGCTCTCGGTTCATTCCAAAATTTCGCCGCTGCCATCCAATGATGCAAGCAGGCACGAGTTTTTCCTTAAGCCGCAAGGCCTCACAATCCACACATGAGTATTTCATGCATGCCAAAGTGAAAATGCTAATGTGCAAAGCGGCGACTGAAAACACACTCACTTTTCTCTTGAACCGCAGGGCCTCAACATTCAGGTAATCACATGTTTTTCATGTGAATCCAAAGGCTAATGCAAAAGGTTCAATGACTTCTCTTTTGTGCGTGTCATCCTGATGCAGGTGGCCATGCAACCATGTGAGTACAACTGAAATTTCTTTGCACTCCTCCTTGGTGCACGTGAGTTTCAACTGGGTGCACCATTCAAAGAAATTGTCATCGCCACTGCACTTTTCCAGAGACGCAAGGTTTCTTTGAAACGTTTGGCATTCTAGGGAGTTGCCTGCATTCCCTTTTGAGAATCACTGGAAGTTGGGAGGCATTAATAGGGGAGTGGCCCCCATTCCACAACTCATACTGAATTCCTGTAGCTCATTGCATAGTCCATGTATTGGTCTGCCAGGACTCCATTTCCTCGGCGACGGACACGTCGAGATAGATTTTCCATACGGTCAGCCATGCGATGAAGAGTCTCGCGCATGACATCTCGATCTCTCAAATCCTGGGTTTGCAATCGATCCAACAGGATCAAAATTGTATGCTGAAGCTCTGCAGCATCTTCCCAAGATTCAGACGCAGGTGCCTGATCCAATTGCGTCCTCAGATCATCGATGGTAACTTCCAACTCTCCACGACGTGTAGTGATGTCGCGGGCTGGATTGAGCACTGTGTTGTCCACCTCCATGTCTGAAGTAGGGCTGGAGCTCTCAGCGCTTTCTGCATTCACCTCATTGTTGGGTCTGTTGATGGCTGCTGTTGCTGCTGCACCTGAACTGGCAGCTGCTGTTTCTGTTTCCACTGGAGGATCTGTATCTTCACCATGGATGTAACCTCTGGACTGAGTTCTGATTGTCCTGAGGTACTGGCTTGTACCCATAGTTGTTCTTAGCAACCAGATTGCCACGCTCTTGGGTGTACATGTGGCGTCTTTGGGCAGGCGTAAGGTCATGTGTCCTCACATAGCCGCCCACTTCCACCAAACCAAAGTGCAGACCATCTTGGCGATCGCTCAAAGTTTCCATGTCTGTTTCCTGTTGTGCAAACTGGGTTGTCAGCATGGCACAGCGCTGACTCACATCATCCAACTGCAAACGCAAACCATTGATTTCACTTCGAAGTTGTGGAACTGCAACCATGTATTCACCAATTGTTGCGTCAGCTTCTGCAACTTGGACACTGAGATGGTAAAGATCATGCAGCAGTTTCTTCACATAGCGGCGCACCACGAAACATCCAATTGCAAATGCAATCAAGATGAAAACCAAAAGCATCACACCAACTTTGAACCACCACTTTTCAGTTGAAGGAGAAGAGTCTGCCAAACACACTGGCTGACCCATAGCGCCTGTTGGCCCAAGGCCCATTGTTGCGATCACTCTGGCAACAACTCTTGCCAGCTGCACCACATCTCTTCCCCCAGCACGGTGTGAAGTTTCTTGGAACTCCTCCTGCCCCACACGTTCATCTCCAAACCTCAAAAAGACACCAAGCTGATGTAGTAGCAAACGCAGTCTCTTTGAACTAAGCACCTTGGTGCCTGCGTCAGCTACATTCCAAACTGTGGAGATCTGGGACAGGATGATGGCCTTCTCCTGGACCAAGTTCTGAATCCAAAGAATCTTTGCGCTGAGGTGTTTGATTTTGCCGACTCCTTGTCTGGCAGCAAGTTGGCGTGCACTGCTGCTGTCTGTCAGGAGCTGGTGTTCAATGGTGGCCCTTGTAACAAACTCTGCACAACGTCGAAGAAACAAGCCATCAGCCAACGTTGAAACCATACCATGAAGTTCACTTTCACAAGAAGAGAGGCTAATGACCCTTTGAGTACGGCTGGATCCAAACATGTATGCACCACACAAAAGATGCATGCCAGCTGAAGTTGATCGACAATGGCGCTTGTCACCTGACCAATCACTGTCACTGAAACTCTCAAGAACCCAGAACTTGTCGTTGGATTGTTTCCAGCGTCCACTGCCACCAACAGGTTGTTCAAGCACCACTGCATAGTCCTGGGTAGATTTCCAATATCCGACCAGCTTCTTCAAACTCTGCAGTGAGCCAATGGTTGGCTTGCTCATTCTTGATGCCAATTCCTTGACAGGAAAGACAATGTCAGGTCGATCTCGAGAGAGGTATAGGCAGACACCAACTGCCATTCTGTAGAAACTTGCATCACCACTTGAAAGCTCTTTTGTTGTATCTTCACGCTGCAAACTTGCATCTCCAGGCATGGATTGTAAACGCACATGTCCCAGCTTTGCTTCCACCTTTTGAACCAAAGCATCGATGTTGGTACCAGGAATTAAAGCCAAACCACCTGGAAGGCGTCTGATGCGGCGCTTGAGAAAATTGATTTCACTACCAACATCTCCAAGTTCACTGTAGCTCACTGTGAAAGCCTTTTGAAAAGCAGGGAGAAAAACCTCATGCCAGAATTTTCGAGAGCCTGCATACATGATGTCGTCCACATGAGTGAGTAGACAAAACTCCACTCCTCTGCACAAACAAGGCTGCTCAGGACACCACTCAACGTTGAAGGTCTTGTCGAGGAAAGCTCGCAAGAACTGATAACTAGCTTCTGGCACCTTGCCTTTGTCCAGGCAAATTCCTGAGCACGACATAGCTCTCATCACCAACCTTAATCTTCAGCACTTCAGGTTGTGGGGCCATCAAAAATGCGTCCTTGACATCCAGCGAGAATCAAGTCACTATTGGTTTCTGTGCCCTCAACTGCTTGGCTGTCAGCTGTCTTCTGCAGCCAAAGAAGGGGCAAAAAATTGAGCACATGGGTTGAGCTTGCAGGTGCAAAAGTATCCTCTCGGCGTTCAAGAAATACATATTCCCTTGCAACACATCGACTCCTTCGAAGCCATTTCTTCACAGCAGGTTGGTCATTGTTGGGACCTTTGTAATCTTTCAGCCTCCAATCATAGACAAAACGTGTAGTCAGCTTTGAATGCACTGGTTCTTTGTAATCTTCTTCTTTCATCAAAACGCCCATGTTGCAAAGACGTTGCAACTCCACGCTGTCAGCCAGTCGATCTACCCAAGCTGGAGGGGCAGGAGGGTGCACTGAAGGATCAACGTCAGACCACAATGCCTCTGGCATACTGTCACCAGAAAGCTGATCTTCTCCATTCCATGGATCTTCATAGTCCACGTGGTCATCCATTTGAGGATCATCATCATAGCTGTCCATCGTGCAATACTCCTCCTCTGCAAACTTGACAACACGTACCATTGTATTGCGCTCCTCTGTCAGCATGGAAAGTCTGGCTTTCTTGGCAGATTCTACTTTGGGGCGTTTCTGTGATTGCTCCTCCTCAGTTTCATTCTCATGCACTCTGACTGTTGAGTCTCTCCTTGGTGAAGTCGGAGTAGAGGGAGCTTCCAAAAGATGCAAAGGTGTTGTGGGTGCATCCAAACGCAAACTTGGATTGGGAACTTCTTCACCAGTCCCATCCTCAACCAACTGCACCTCATCTTGAACAACAGGATGAGCACCACCTGAACCACTGGGTTGCACCGGGCCGTCATCATCATCATCACCCCACCCCAGATGTTGGTTGGGTTTGGGAAAGTTCTTTCCCCAGAAACTTGAACCAGCTCCTCCTCAACTGCAATGCCAGGTCGGTCAAAAAGACTCATTTGTTGATTCTCCAATTCTTCTTGCTTTTCCTCCCTGGCCTTCTCGATCACAGCTGCACCATCAGCGTCATAGAAGGCTGATGGCTCAATGGAGCCTTGAGGCTGCTTGAAACTGGCACTGATTGCATCACGGCATCCCTTTGTTGGAACAACTCTCAGGTGTCCACGCCAATCTGTTTGAATGCGGCGCACTGACTTCACTAACACCAGATTTGAACCATTGTACAAGATGAAAGAATCTTGTGGGTCCACCTTGCCCACGAACAACATACGAGACCATCGTGCTGAGCCCTTGTTGTTGGACTTTGAGTAGCCAAAAAGGGGCCCACCAAAAACGCATGTTGAACCTTTGTAACTCTTTCCAGTCACCAGTTCATAGCTGCTCATGCCCTGGTTGGTGTTGTACCTGTTCAGTACCCAGCATGCGTGGCGCATAGCCCAACTCCAAAGTGCATTGGAACTGCTCAACTCAATGCCAATTTTCTGGGCAATGTAGTGCATGAAAGCCCCTGCAAGAGGACGGATTCTGCCAATGCAGTTCTCAATCAAACTGTTCCCATGACTGTAGGCCTGAGGAGTAGTGGTTAAATCAACGCGATCGCCGCCCAGTTGTCAATACCTCCTCATTACAAAGCGCAAAAACACGCGCAAAAATTCAAACAGGAAAAACATCACAAAAAACAAAACACAAAAACACAGAGTGACAACTGACATGTGTGGCATCACAAACAGCAGCACATGTTTTTCTCGAAGCACAACGATGGGATGTGCAACAGTTCAGCCTTACATCAGGCCGCCCTTCATCGGGCCATCAGGGAAAACTTCACAGCTCAAAAACGTTTCGCCACTTCCATCGTGGAAGCACCATCATTCAAACGAATCACCTCTGAGCAGAGGTTCCATTTCCAGAGCGGTATGTCTGGCCAAGGGCTGTCACATCTCATCACCCCGGGCCATCAATACCAAGAAAGGACTTCGCCAGCGGCGTTGGTAATGGTCATCTCAGTCTCGCCTGTGGCCGGAGCAGCTGTAGAAGCAGCTGATGCGGCCGTTGTTGGGGCCTCGGCCGGAGGAGCAGCTGCTGTGTCCGCAGGCGGCGGCAAAAGAGTTTGCAACCGCCTTTTCATCCTCAACATGGTCTCCACTGTACGAAATAATAAGAGTGAATCAATCAGCATCTCATTGAACTCTGCGTGCAAAACGATGTCATACTCAGAAATAAACCACTGATGAAAATGCTCCAGCGGTGTAATTGCCTGAAGAACAAATGTAGCATGTTGATCGAAGTTATCCAAGAGGACGTCCGACAAGGGTCTCGACTGTTGTGGCAGCATGATGTTCAAGGGAGTTTCCGGTGGTTGATTTGGCCACAGTGTGCGCTCTAATGTAAACATAGCCTGAGAGAGTTGCGACCACAATTGCCACACGCTGGTCATGAACTTCGGACGTCCAATTTGTTCGATCAGCAACTTACAGGCGGAGACGATCTTGTCAAATGCCAGCAAGCGCTCTTCTTGGAGATTTTGCGCAATCTGCATATTTGGGTGAACAGGTTCCAGAAAGTGGAACGCAATGCTGATGGCCGCAGTTAGCCCAACGATTGCCTCGGGTGACATCAGTGGCTATCGGGGCTATGCGCAATGGTTCGGTAGTGAACTGGGTAATGCTGCTGAGACATGGTGTGAGTCAGAACTGCGGCTGCAGCGGAATTATTGGAAAAGAAAGCTGAAATTCTGGGGTGGGAGTGAAAACGGGCGGGAACTTCAAATTTTTCTTGAGACCAAAAATGCACTTGAGATCAAAATGGACATGTTGCACAAACGTAAAAACCCGAGAACAGTATGAATCAAATCACTGCACCGTTGCACAACAGGTTGAGCACCTGCCTCAAATGAGTATACATACATACCCGAACTCACACGAAGGAAAGGTACCATAAAAACTGGGTCATAAAACAGCAGGAAGCTGTAGGCTGTAAGGGTTTTTACGCGAACAGGAGGAACTAACGCGAGAGGAGAAGAGGGGACAACTGGGCTAAAAGTTTCACAGGAAACTTTTCTAACGCGTTTAGATTTAAGGCTCTATCAACACGTTGACAGATTGCTTAAATCAACGCGATCGCCGCCCAGTTGTCAATACCTCCTCATTACAAAGCGCAAAAACACGCGCAAAAATTCAAACAGGAAAAACATCACAAAAAACAAAACACAAAAACACAGAGTGACAACTGACATGTGTGGCATCACAAACAGCAGCACATGTTTTTTCTCGAAGCACAACGATGGGATGTGCAACAGTTCAGCCTTACATCAGGCCGCCCTTCATCGGGCCATCAGGGAAAACTTCACAGCTCAAAAACGTTTCGCCACTTCCTTCCATCGTGGAAGCACCATCATTCAAACGAATCACCTCTGAGCAGAGGTTCCATTTCCAGAGCGGTATGTCTGGCCAAGGGCTGTCACATCTCATCACCCCATCTTAACCGGAGTGTCTGACGAGCCGCTGCAAACATTTTGCCACTGTCACTCCAACCAAGAGAGGAGAAACGAAACTAGCACTTATGCCGTCTGCCGAACCACGGGATGGTCCATCAGCGATATTACTTTCTGACGGAACTCTTGCAAACCATGAGATTATACCTTGGGCGTCCTCTACCTCTAAGACCTGTGCAACAAGGCTTGATCCGGGGAAAGTCCTGGCAGCACCACTTATACACACATCTCTGGTTGAGTTGTTATCGATATAAGCAACACAAGGGTGGTTCCTTAGAAGCTTCTTCCACAATTGAAGGGAAACGAGGAGCGCAAGGAGTTCAGCCTCGAATATGACGGTGCTCTTGCCGGGGTAACCCAATGCAGTAAAGTCGTCCGGACGAAGCTCAAAAGAAAAGGCCGAAATCTGGCAACCAGACGAATCAACAAGCACACCTCCAATGCCACCTGGCCAGTTTGTGTCATCCGGTGAAAATGACGCATCAGTGAACAGGAAATATGGGACATCCCACCGTGCAGTAATCTCACGCGGTCTTGCAGTGTTGAGGTGGCAACGGAATACCCTCAGGAGTGCTAACGTATGGTCACCAAGGCCATCCCCAGAACCATTGTATGCATGTGCCGTAACCGCACTCAAACACAATCTAGCAGCTCGCCCCCACAATTGGGCTTTTGCGAATTGCATCCTCCCTCGTAGGACCAGTGCACCCTGCTTGGTGAGACGCTTCGCGAGCAAGACTTCATCGATGGTTTCAGTCAACTCCTTAATGCGTTTCTCAGTGTTGGCAAACGAGACACATCCCGAAGTCCACTTTGAACAGTCAATCTCAACACCAAGGGCCTTGAATCTCTCTGAGAACGGGAGGTCTTTGTCACCTGATGAAACCGCCCACCCAAGCAAGCGGAAGAATTGCAGTGCAGCAATGGCCACAGAATCCGATTCAACTGCCCTGCAAAAAGTGATGTAATCGTCAAAGAAGTTGCTCCATACAAGCTTTAACGACTTACAACCGAGCCACCAAAGCGAGTGTGACACCCTAAGGAAGCTGTAAACTGACTTGCTTGCCCCGAAGGGGAGTGCCCGCATTGCAAAAATCTTTGGTCTGCATTCCCCGGGGTCATATACAGCGATGTATGACACCCAACGTGATCCAGGCGCCACTCCCAACTGCCTATAGGCCGCCGGGAGATCCAATGTCTTGCCCACCCACTGTTGGTCACAATCAGACTTGGGAAGCTCCATACATAGTGCAGCTGCAACATCCAACGTATGTAACTTAACCGCACTTTCAACTTGCACGGTGTCGTTGACACCAGACCCAGAAAAATCATCTATGAGTCTCACCTTCATGCTATCACCGGACGACTGGTTTATACCAAAGCGGCGGCTGACCACCGCATCTTCAGGCAGCTCCTCAGGCACATAAGGGCCATCCAGCCAACCACACTCCAACTCTTCCAAGGTTTTTGCATACACAACTTCATCGATGTTCGCATCACCGGAGGGTCCAATCGTGGCCAACAGTGCTGCTCTGGCAGCGGGTGCAGATCTAGCCAACTCAGGCATGGATACCTTTGCCGGCCGAAAACAAGGATCGAAGAATGGGACCACCGGAGCAGGGCCCGCAAGATCAATACCACCAACTACTTCATGGAACACGGCTGAGTCTGGGTACCCATAGTACTCCATCATCTCTTTCCAAAGCAGCAACCTCTTTGGTGCCAGAATCCCCTGAAGGGTTGAAGGGAAGCCGGCGTGGAGCTTAGCCTCATCGCTAACCAAGCTACGACCACGATCAAGCCAATATTGGAGAGTAGCCAAGCGCTGTTTCGCCAAGACATAAGTGGGCGTGTTAGACACATGCGTCAACACTTCCCACAACGGATCAGGGAGTCTCGAACTTCCACCAACTGGGTGCCCCGCACTCACAGCATCTTTGACAAACTGTTCACAAGTCCTATACACCCCGAAATGAGCAATCTGGCCGGAGCCATTTTGGCTGCTTGGGTCGGCATCCGACTGAAAGGGGACTACAAGGGGCGGACTAGGAGCAGGAGTTAGGGGCCTAAGGTTATCATGGTTAGGGTTACGACCAGAAGCCCTATCAGGATCATCACGGGGCTTATCCGACATCGAACCACCAACATCTTTATCCCCACAAGCAATACTACCCCCATTTAACCGGAGGGGAGGTCTGCGTAAGAACTTGGCCCCGGCAGGGACCATGTTCCATTCGGATTGCAACTTTTGGCCAACTTGAATTGGGCAACCATCAGCAGGAATGGGGACACGCATGACATGTGAAAATTCCGAAAGCAATGGTGGCATTCTGCTGGCTTTGGGTTGGACTCCAACGATTGACCTAAGATAATGGAAGGAGACGGTGTCAGGAGGGGCCAGCTCCCAAGGAGGAGGCTGCCAGCCTAGTGAAATGAGTTCCTGGGTAATACCAAAGGCAATGGCGTATGCCAGTGGCATTGGGTATGCCGCTTCTTCTGCAGTTGAAAATGTCCGAGTTTGATCTGGGCCTGTGACAACGCCCCACGGCTTGTGTTTGTGGGTACGGCTCAGGCCCGGGCATGTTTTGCACAAACTAGAAAGTGAGAGAGTGTTGTGGGCCAAAACGGTCCACTTTGGACGCTCGGACCCGTATGCACATGCCTGATGGGCAGTGTAGTCTCAAAGGTGCAAAGAATGACGTTTGCCAATATAACGACGAGCGTGGATTTTCAATGACAACGATGAGGTTCAAGTTCAAGCAATACAAAACAACTTTGGTTATGAAGGCATATAGTGTGTTAGCTGATTGAACACGTCGACGAATTAGCCAGCTCATTTTGGTCACTCCATCGGGCATGAGCGGGGTTCGCAAGGGTTGCGGCCCGGCAATTTTT